CGACATGCACTGTAGGTTTAAAATAAAAGTTCATCAGCCGTTAAACAGAAGAAAAGAACAAAGAAAAGGGAAACATGATGAACGTAGACGTGGCAGCTCAGATGAGGAGGATATTGGGCTGCAACAATCTTACCTGTACCAGTGTTGGAGGAATATATGTTCGCTCTCTTCAGCTGAGCTCAAGAGGAGTTTCCCGACTAAATATATATACGAATTTGGGTAGACGGTCTCGCGAAAATTGCTCAGAATTGTCATATTGTCACTAATGTACGTAGTTGACTACATGCGTATTCTCTCACATTGGTGATGTGCATGCTGTCGTTGAGTACTTCTATCGGAATGCTTTTCTCCAACGAGTATCGGTGTACATGGGTATGTTACAGCGTATGTAGATTTTGATATGGAAATGTGTGTAATTTTGCGAGAGTAATAAGAATCGATATCCCATGAACAAGATGAGCATGATCGTTGAGAACTATGTTCATAATTGGTAGTAAAATGAATAATAATACACTTGTTATAATAATACTCAATGGAGTTTTATCCGTGATATGAAAAACACTGATGAAAAACATATTTCACGACTACTGCATACAGCGTAAATCGCCTTTATCAAGAGTATTACGCCACTTCCCGTAAAACGAGTCGTGAAATTCCGCTGATATATACACGAGTATTTTACTATTAGTATTTCTATGTAATCATATTCATGAAATTTATATAGTTGTTGATTATAATAAATGTGTAATGTTATTGATCGTTATATGGCGTTCGCCCAAATGTGCCTTAAATTTGACATGCAACATATGTCTTTGATATTTCAGTCCTCTGCTACGACAAGAATACCTCAACAGCCACACCCTAGTCTGTAAAGTATATGTGCTTAGTGCTAGTGGTATTATACCTCCTGGAGGAAGCACTGACTGTGAGAGCTACATTTGGGTAGGGGTCGGGTTGTGATTTGCTGGTGGTGTGGTATGGCGTTTTAAAGCAGTGGTAGTGCGAAGAAGTTGACAATTAGTTTGAGTTTGGGGTTTTCGGCAGAGCTTGATAAATTGCGGGAATTTAGGAACGAGTTGCTAAAACCAACGAAGATTTTCTGCAAATTCCACAAGATTTCATGTAGTGTGATAATGGTAACCTTTCGAGACTATGATAGCGACAAGTTGTTCACTATCATTAATCCCGGAATAGACAACACACATTCTCCACATTTGCATAGTATCAAATTGGCACAAGCTGGAGTTCCACCCGTTTCGTGTGAAGCGGCGTAAAACTCTGTTAAATATCTGTCCTGTTATATGTCTTTCACTCGCGTTTTTCATATCACTAGGGTGAAACTCCACTGTATTGAGATTAACTTACCGATAGTAGTAATTCTCGTGTTAGTGTTTGTTGAATGAAGTTTCACCCGTGGTATAACAAGCACTAGTGAAAGACTATTGCATATCACCACCAATATCACTTTTTTCACAGAGTATTACGCCACTTCACGTAAAACTCCATTTTAAGAGGAGGTTTCTCTCAGCAACTTTCGGTCGTTGCTGTAGATATACAATTCAAAGGAAGAAAACGCAGGAGGATTGAATTCTATCAAAGACTCGAGCAACTCTCGAACGAGTACTCTAAACCCTGAGTTTAACAAATGTTATTCTCTGCCTTGTCGTTTTCCCGACAACACTACGCTGACTATCAAGTTGATGGAAAAGCATTCTATTATGGGCGATACGAACATAGGCGCTGCAGTGATCGATATTGAGAATCGATGGTTTCATCCGAGGTGACGGGCTGTGGGGAGTGGCCACTGTAGAGATATATACTCTCTTTCCGCAGCTGAGCTCAGGAGGTTTTCTGGAGAATACATACGAATGCGGTGGAAATGTATAGGGCAACTACATGTGTTGGTGACAATATGAAAATTGTGGGACACTTCTAAGCGAAGACGTATATAATTAGTGAGGAAACTCCTGAGCTCAGCTGAGGAGAGCGAAAATATATTCCAAAAC